ATCTACTAAATTGCTAATTGATGTAACAAATGTTCAGACGTTTGTGTTGAAGAGGCCACTTGTGTTTACAAGATCATTCATTGTTTTTCTGTTGTTCATGAGTTTCTACTCTCCTGGTATAGCATTAGCCAAGGTAAACTCTTTATTTTCTCATGACATGTATTCATTTTCCAACATCAAGCTTTTGGTTCAATAATGTAAAACCTTGTATTGAATCTGTGTAGGATATACCAGACGTAGAAGGAGATATAAAACATGGCGTTGATTCTTTCGCCGCACGTTTAGGCCAGAAAAATGTATGTTTCTTAAATTCAATATTTTCTTTTGGTTATCTTCTCTTTGTATAATATTTGATAGATTCTAAATCTTTGATAGATATTTTGGATTTGTGTTTTCCTCTTGGAAATGGCTTTTGGAGTTGCCTTCTTGGCAGGAGCATCATCTTCATCTCACTTTTGGATTAAAATTGTCACGGTAACATATTTTTATTATATTTTATATATATATATATATATATATATATATATATATATATAGGTTGTATGCATAATTTATTTGTTTTTTTTCTCGCAACATGTAGTTTGATTTTGATGATATTTATTAGGTATGCATAATGATCGTTAAAATAAGCAATATTTTAGTACAAACATAGGTTTATTGTTTTTTATATATCATTATAAATCAGCATAAAGTTATTTAAACTTTTGAACAAAATTTAAACAAAATCTGTTATATTTTAGTGTCTTGGAAATGTTGTTCTTGGTTCAATTCTGTGGTACCAGACCAAATACGTAGATGTGACAAATCCAGCTTCCACTAGATCCTTCTATTCCCTTATCTGGAAGGTAATTCTTCTATTAAAACACTGTTTCCATTTGAGTAGTCCAGATTATAAAGGAAACATCTAATAACATAAGTACTTATGTGTTTGTTTTTGCAGTTGATGATGGGATCATACGTTCTCCTGCCTTTAATTAGATAAAGTGTAACTCAAGATTAAACAACGTTTGCAACACATGCAATAGAATAACATAGAAAGCCGTCGCATCTAAGTTTATTGAAGCAATAAAAATTGCACATGTATGTGTTCTCTAGATCTGATGAGTTTTGTATCAGTAAGTTTTTTTTTTTTTTTTTGCTTTTCAGTTGTTTGATGATTTTTAGTATAACTATATCGAGCATTATCTCTATATTAAAGGAATAAAAAAATAGAACCAACTTGGTATGATATAATTACCCTAAAGTATATGAGTGCTAGCGTATGAGCTTTTATCCACTGTAAAGTGTTAGTTTATAAATACAGTCAATAAAACTGATACTTCACATTGAAACTGATACGTGACAGTTGTCACATTATGGACCTGACATGACAATGTAATTTTTTTAAAAAATTTAAACTGTTTTAAAAAAATCACAAATTGACATTATCCCGTTCCTAAGAGAACTTGTTTGAAACAATTTTTCAACAATTAAAATGCCATTGATATTTTTTAAAATCGAAGATCAGCTTCACACATTCTAACTTGGTACCACAATGATTAAGTTTATAAGAATCTAAACCATTGAAAAAAAATGAGTCAATTTAGCAATTATATGATTAAATAATGGAAACCACTAAGTGAATTAATTAGGCAATGTGAAATGTAAAATGGGCAGCCCACCATAATTATGTCAGTTTTAATCATTATATTAAAAACGCATACTTTCGATAAATATTTACGAACATATTTATTTCAGCGAATAAATTAAAATTATCGACGAATTTATCAGTGAATTGTATCCATGAATTTACCAGCTAATATATTATCGGTAAAAGCTACGCGTCATTACCGCGGGTTATAGCCCTCA